CTCTGAATCTCGAGAGCCAGACTCCCAACATGACTACTTTCTTAAAAAATCGAAGAGAGGGTAAAGGAACAGTACCATTGCTGGATAATTGGAAAGTCCCTGTGTGTCAACCTCTGTGCTTCGTGGCAAGGTAGACTAGCAAACATGCCCAACCTTTACTCACATTCGAGAAAACACTCCCAACAAGATTGCTTGCTCCAAAATCGAAGAGGCACCGCCCTTCGAATCTCGAGAGCCAGACTCCCAACATGATTACTTTCTAAAAAATCGAAGAGACACTGCTCCCCGAATCTTCGAGAGCCAGACCCCCAGCATGATTGCTTTCTCAAAAATCGATGAGGCATCGTTCTCCGAATCAATCGAAGAGGCGCTCGCTTTCTCAAAAGCTGGGCTGCTCAGAGACCACGAGGGCCGATCTCAGAAATCGAAGAGGCACCTACTTTTCTAGCCTTGTCAGCACCTGTCACACGAACACTCAGCTTTGCAGAAATTATGGGCATTCTGTCGAAGACTTCTGGTGAAGTAGAAAGCACATGAATCTTACTGTTCAATCACCCACTTCCCACACGCAACAATAGCTCATGGGTACCACAGATAACTTTGCCAAAGTTCTCTGCCAAAGTTGAGCACGTGAAGCTTGCAGCTCCCACTACATCGCTCTGACCAAGAAAGGTGAAAGAATAGCAAAGAAACAGCACTAACAAAGTTTAGACACATAAATTTTGAAGGTCTAGCTACCATATTATTACCCACAAGGGTAAAGGAACAGTACCACTGCTGGATAATTGGAAAGTCCCTGTGTGTCAACCTCTGTGCTTCGTGGCAAGGTAGACTAGCAAAACATGCCCAACCTTTACTCACATTCGAGAAAACACTCCCAACAAGATTGCTTGCTCCAAAATCGAAGAGGCACCGTCCTCCGAATCTCGAGAGCCAGACTCCCAACATGACTACTTTCTCAAAATCGAAGAGAGGGTAAAGGAACACAGTACCATTGCTGGATAATTGGAAAGTCCCTGTGTGTCAACCTTTGTGCTTCGTGGCAAGGTAGACTAGCAAACATGCCCAACCTTTACTCACATTCGAGACAACACTCCCAACAAGATTGCTTGCTCCAAAATCGAAGAGGCACTGCCCTCCGAATCTCGAGAGCCAGACTCCCAACATGATTACTTCCTAAAAAATCGAAGAGACACTGCTCTCCGAATCTCGAGAGCCAGACCCCCAGCATGATTGCTTTCTCAAAAATCGAAGAGGCATCGTTCTCCGAATCTCGAGAGCCAGATACCACAGACCACTTTTTCAAAGTGCTCTGACAGAGTTAAAACATGTGAAACTGGCAGCTCCCACTACCGTGCTATGACCAAGCAGGGTAAAGGAATAGCATTACTACTTGTTAGGGAGACTCCTATATATGTCGACCCTCATCCCCAACGGACAGGCAGACCTGCAAAAATGCTCAACCCTTCATCATATCTGAGAGGGCACTCCCAACGAAGCCTTTCGAAATATTCAGCTTTCTTTCCCCCCGATAATACCTCTACAAACAAGCTATACTAGAGCAAGAATATCTCATATCATCAGGGTTAAAAAAGCAAGAGTATCCCATATCATGCTTTTTCCCTGTCTTTTCCTTTGGCCTTGTTTTTTACCTGCAAGACAAGGAGAAAGAGAGCAATCAGTCAGCACTTGGAATCAAGCTTCCAGCCAGGATCTGACTGCCTGGAACCCCTTACCTGATTACTTACCTGGCATTGCTCTCGAGTACTCATCTTCAACATCTTATGTTTCCAGGGAAGATTCCGCATTTGCTTGAGGAACAGATAGGGCAAGTGCGAAGGATACAAGGAAGCATGTGGAGACAAGCGTAACAGCACACGTGCCGATACATCCATTACTCTGTCAAAAGCAAAAGTATCCCATATCAGCAGGGTGGAACGTACTCTAGATTTGATGGACTTGTTTTGACCCTCAAATTCTTCAGTCGGCCTTATACTCTGGAGGAAACCAGAAAACCCTCCTGCTCAGTTCAAGAATAAGCCTGTGGAAAGTTACTTCTTCAAAAGCAAAAGTATCTCATATCATCTCTTCTCATTTTTCTTCTCTTTATCCTTCATCCTGCTGCAAGATGGGGAGAAGGTGAACAATCAGTCGGAGCTCTGATTGCTTACCTTGTCTGTCACCTCTTTCAGCAGACCCCCTAGCTCGGCGACTTGGGGGACTCCTACTACATGGTTTGTATCGCGCTTGACCAAGCCTGAAACTACAAGTAAGCTTCAAGTGAAATTGATACATTACCTTGTGCATCTCCACCAGTTAAAGATACCACCCCTGGATGGAGGAAGAGTACTTCCAGAGAAAATGCCACATCTACCTATGAGACAGATAAGGCAAGTCAAGACGACTCCACACTCCGATACTTAGAAGTTTCGTGATTACGAGATCATTCTCCCACAATATTTCCTAATGTCATTTGTACTAAATCATTCACTTGTACTCACTAAAGGAGAGCTTGAACCTATGTACTTGTGTAAACCCTTCACAATTAATGAGAACTCTTCTATTCCGTGGACGTAGCCAATATGGGTGAACCACGCACATCTTGTGTTTGCTTTCCTATCTCTATCCATTTATATATTTATCCACACTAATGACCGGAGCAAACTAGCGAAAATCACAAAAAGCGACCGTTTTAGCTACCTAGGATCTATCTTGCAAGAGAACGGAGAATTAGATGGAGATCTCAACCATAGAATACGAGCTGGATGGATGAAGTGTAAGAATGCATCCGGCGTGTTGTGTGACCGTCGTAGGCCACTGAAGCTCAAGGGAAAATTTTATAAGACGGCAATAAGGCCAGCGATGTTGTATGGCACAGAATGTTGGGCGGTGAAGCATCAACACGTACACAAAATGGGTGTAGCGGAGATGAGGATGCTTCGTGGGATGTGTGGGCACACGAGAAAGGATAAGATTGGGAATGAGGATATCCGAGGTAAAGTAGGAGTAGCCGAAATTGTAGGAAAGATGAGAGAAAATCGGCTCCGGTGATTTGGACATGTGCAAAGAAGGCCGAATGACGCTCCGGTTCGAAGATGTGACTACGGGACAGAGGTTCAGGGCCGAAGGGGTAGAGGAAGACCTAGGAAAACTTTGGAAGAGACTCTAAGAAAAGACTTAGAGTACTTGGATCTAACGGAGGACATGACACAAAACCGAGCGTAATGGCGTTCTAGGATTCATATAGCCGACCCCACTTAGTGGGAAAAGGCTTTGTTGTTGTTGTTGTTGTTGTTGGTACACAATGTCAATTCAATTTTAACTGATCAGTTGAGAATCATCAGCTTACTGATTTTTTTTTTTTAACAAACGATATTATCTTCATGCATGGTAGGCAAGTGTTTCGGTAGGGGCTAGCCATAATAAATCTCACACCGGGCTAACCATTATAATGTGGTTCAAATTTACTTTTAACGGGAATCGAACCTAACACATCTCACTTACAAGTGAAGATGATACCATACTACTAATTGGCATTACTGTTATTGAATATTAACTTGCTTCATGCATGGCAGGCAAACATTATAAGATTTTATGAATAAAAAATAAGGAATACCCTCATGCAATTCTTAATGGTGTGCTTGAAAATGGTCAGGTGCAATCATGGTATAAAATATCCATAATATCCTGATATTTTTATTGAAATTTCCGTGTTTTTGGAGTACCAATATTTTTTTGGACTACCGATATGTATTTTAGACCTTGCTAAGTCACTCATGTATCTTACCATGCAATGTATAAAATGTAAAATATTGTACTAATTCATTATATATAAATGATTATGGTGTGTGTAAACTTCTTTCATTAATTACTACATATTTTCTACACTCACAATATTTGCCAGCTCGCTATATAATCAACTTAAATCAGTTATATCTATCATGCAATGCATTTCCTTCCAATTTTTTGTGATAAACTAATAGATAATTGACTAAATAAACATCCTGCAAAGTTTCAATAAAAATTTCCAAGTTTTTCTTACAATTTCCGTGGTTTTTATTCAATTTTTATCGATATTGATAATATCCCGATATTTCCATCGAAATTTCCGTGTTTTTGGACTACCTTTATTTCCGATATCATCGATATTTAATACCTTGGGTGCAATACATTGAGAAACCACTTGTATAAAAGAGCGTTTAGAATAATGTTCCAGTAGTAAATTTGTGGTGCTTAAGCTATTTAACTTCAATTGTTAGAAATAAAAAAGAGTGCGCGAAAGACTAATGAGTAAAAGTTAGCTCTGAAACAAAAACTTAAAATTAAATAATTATCGCATAAGGAATGATGTTTCAGTAGTAAATTTGTGGTGCCCTTGTTTGAGAGAAACACTTGCTTTAAAGAGAGTTTGGAATATTGTTTCGGTAGTAACTTTGTGATGCTTTGAGTAGTTCATTAACCAGGTTTCTCAACCAAATATATGAAATGAAAATGCATTGAATTGTTTATATGGCAATTTTGTGGTGCTTAAGTAGTCATTAAATTGTTTTTGTGAACGTAAAAAGGTAAAGAAAAAAGAAGCATTGATGCTTTGTAATTGTTCGCATGACAGAAAAATTATGTAGACAAAAGGATTATAACTCATTTGATTAAAAAGGAGATCAGTTGGCGGCTTCTGTCACAGCAACTCACCTTTTTAGGGGAGGAGAAGACTCACAGATGCATTTTAGTCTTTTTTAGCTATCATCGTGTGATTCACCAGCACCAAGAAATCGAATTCAAAACATGCCGTGTAGAATACGAACCTGAAATTCATCTCTAACGACTAAGTAACCCCATATTGATTTCTTACACGATAGTTCTAATTTCAATTCTCCGACACCTATATCCTAAATCATATACTCATTTTGATTAATTTTTTAAAAAAGCTTCTATTCCCTAATCTCCCGGGTTCTAAACTTAAATCACGATTGAAAATAAAAATAAAAACAAAAACAAAAAGCAAAATAAAATAGAAAGAAGAGAGGATCGTTCAGTTTGGAAGCGTGAATATCAAGCCTACTACAGTCAGTCACACTCGCCCCGTGGAAGAAGTATTACAATTAGCAATGGCACCAGCGTCCACCGCCCAAGAGAGCCGATCGAGGGACCTCGACAAGCTCCTCCTCCGCCCCGGCAATCTCGTTGGACCCAGCTTCGAACCCGGCCCTGGAGTAAACCCTTTTCCTCCTTTTCCTTCTCTCTTTAACACTCTCCTTTTTCGATCAATCGTACAATTTTGTGGGTTTCTTACAGTGATTTTGTTGCAGCTACGAGATGATCTCAAAGAGTACGCCAGAGTTTTGGTGGTTGGGGCTGGTGGGTTGGGCTGTGAGCTGCTCAAGGACTTGGCTTTGTCTGGTTTCCGGGAGCTCGAAGTCATAGACATGGATCGCATCGAGGTTTCCAATCTCAATCGCCAGTTCCTCTTCAGGTTATTTGAAAATTTTTTTGGGTGCCTTTTTAATTTGTAAATTTGGTGCCTTTTGCTTTAATTTGTAATGGGCTAATCGGAAATTTTGTTGATTTTACTTGTTTATTGCCCACTTTACAGTCTTTCATTAGCTAGAGTATTGGAGATTTGTATAATCTATCAATATTTTAGTTCTCTAACTGATCTTAGGCTGAAGTATACGGAATGACCCAACTTTTTAATCTTAACAGTAAAATTATCCCTGAACCATTGATGTTTGTGTGTGTTATTAAATGTCTAATCTCTCAATATTAGCCTTCTATCTGCTTCAGAACCGTCTATTTTGATAATCTCTGTCGTATACTAATGAATACTGTAATTTCCTTTTTTTTCTTTCTTTTTTTTTTCTTATCTGCCTTATCGATGTAAAAAACAAGAGAAGAAAAAGAGTTGCACTTCAGTTTCTTGTTAGAGTGCTTTCCTCATGATGTTTTTGTCGTAGACTTGAAGATGTAGGTAAGCCAAAGGCTGAGGTGGCTGCGAAACGTGTCATGGAGAGAGTTAGTGGTGTAAATATCGTTCCACATTTTTGCCGGATCGAGGAAAAGGAGCTTGAATTTTATAGTGATTTCAGTATCATCGCCCTCGGTCTTGATTCCATTGAGGCTCGGAGCTACATCAATTCTGTTGCTTGTAGTTTTCTTGGTCAGTTTCTTCAACCTATCCATTTTGCTCATATTTTGTCTCTGTATTACATATTAAAAGTTCTATACAGGTTCAGGTGTTTCTATAATTATATTTGCACATGTTTGTGTGATATTGATTATTGACCTTCCTTGTTGCTTTAATTATTGATAATTACAGTGTTTATTTTCCTTATGAGAACAGAAAGAATAGATTTAAATAAAATAGTCCCAGAAAAGCCTGCAGATAATAGATTTTGGTCATTAAACATGCTTGCTAAAATTGGTCCAGTTTTGCAAATCTAAGGTGTCAAAATTGGTTCGGATTTTGGTTTGCACTTTTGTTTCTAATATCAGATCCTTTGTTGCTTTGGTGACCTTGCCTTGAAGCTCTTATGTATAACAGCATTTTCGGGACTTTTTTTTGAAAAAAAATTCCTCTTGTCCTTGCCTTATCACATGCTACCCTTTGTACATCGTTCTTGAAATGCATTGCTTTTTCTTTACTATACTTGAGCTAACGTGGCCCTTCACATTTTATTTGTTATTCTTTTGGAAGAGTATAATTCTGATGATACCCCACAAGAAGAAACCATCAAGCCTATGGTAGATGGAGGGACTGAAGGTTTTCAAGGACATGCTAGGGTCATTGTTCCAGGGGTCACTCCATGCTTTGAGTGCACAATCTGGCTTTTCCCCCCTCAAGTGAAGTTCCCTCTATGCACCCTTGCAGAAACCCCTAGAACTGCTGCTCACTGTATTGAATATGCTCACTTAATCAAATGGGATGAGGTGACACATTCCACACGATTTCACTATTCTTTCCCCTTTACTTTTCATTACACTTTATAACTGTTCCATGAGTTAAAATTGATGGTATGACAACTAAAAATGCATTCTACAAATAGGTACATAGCGGAAAGTCTTTTGATCCAGATGATCCAGAGCACATGAAGTGGGTCTATGACGAGGTCAGTGGAGTACAATTATGTAGTGATTTACATTTTGTTTATATTGATGTTCATTTTAACTTAGATTTTGTTGCTCAATATCCAATAGGCTACCAAGAGAGCTGAGCTTTTCGGTATTCCAGGAGTTACATATTCTCTTACTCAGGTGCTTATGTACTTTAAGATTTCTGTTTCTTCTAAGATTTTTCTTTTTAAGATTCTGTGCCACTGAACTGCATAGTTTGGGTTGGGTGTTAATTTATATGGGTGAAGAAAGATATTACGATTTGCCTCCCTTCTCTAATAAGCAGATTATGTTGTTTGCAGGGTGTTGTGAAGAACATCATACCAGCTATTGCTTCCACAAATGCAATTATATCAGCAGCATGTGCACTAGAGACATTGAAGATTGCATCTGGATGCAGCAAAACACTATCAAATTATTTAACGTGCGCTCTATTTCTCTTCAATACCACTCGACTTAAACATCTTGTCCTAGATGTCCTAACCAGTATGGTTGCAAATCTATGTGTAGGATTAGTGAATGACCACTCGCAAAATAGTTTAGGATTAGTGAAACCACCCCTCCCCCCTCCCCTTAATTGCTTTTACTCCAAGTTTGCATTTCATTATGCTTGATCTTCGAAAAGTTAGATTGCAATGCTAAGGTTGTGAAAAGTGCCAATATTTCTTACATTGGCAAATTAGCTCGCTTTGGATGCTAGGTCATTGTTGAACATCATCATCAAAATTAAAGCAAATGGCTGCACATGTTTCATCTAATCAAACTTGTTAACAAAAGGTTTTATTTCAATATGTACTGAGTGTTCAGAGTCGTTGTAGGTATAATGGTGCACAAGGTCTCCACACAAAAGTGACTGAATTTGTCAGGGACAAAGACTGTCTTGTATGCGGACCGGGTGTTCTTGTTCAACTGGACACCTCAATTACTTTGCAAAAGGTTATTTTCTATATCCTTTGATTGGCTAGAATTTGGTTTCTGTGAACGTATCTTTGGAGAAAATTTAGTTTTGGCGACATTCATGTTTAAGTTTCTAAGTCCGGCATATTAGTCTTTGTGGTTAGTGTTCCTATAACTGGATTCTAATAGTTGTCTGATGAAAGCTATTGTATGTTTAGGAGGCAAATGCTATACTATCTTTTAGTTATGATCCTTTTGATCTTATGGTTAAAACCTTCTGCATAGTGATATTTATACTCCTTGGTGTTGCTTTTGATGTCAGCTCTACTTGTTTTGTGTTATATTTTAAAAGGTTCGTTTAACTTAAGAAATGAAAAGTGATTCTAGTTTCTAAGTGAACAAAGTCGGTATCGCACCAAGGTGTTTTGTTGTGACTACCAACGATGCCTAAATCTCAAGCTCTCAATTAAGAAAGTTGTTAAGACTTCTCATCTTTGTCATTTCTCCTTTGTCAAAAGTGAAACGCTCAAGTTAGTTTTTCTGATAATTTGATTCTGATCTTGAAGTAT